TTGAATGTTGCCGTTGGTTGCGCGATGCTGGCTTCCCGCAATACGCTCGACTTTATGAAGGTGGAAAAAAAAATTTTTTTTGTGATTTTTGACATAACTATTTCTTTGAAAAAAATAAAATTTAATTTGAATTTCTGCGAAAACTCGGAAATTGGTGGCCTTAGTGTGTCCGTGGTGGCTTTTCCAGAAAACAAAGACGCACAAGTACATTCTCCAAAAAATGCAGGGCAAATTTGGGACTTTTTTGAGGAGTTAAAATCCTTAAGTCTTAAGTTTCAGCTTTTCCTACGATTTTAAATAAAAAAAGATCAAGAAGAAAAAATCGTCTTAGCTGTGCACTCTCAAATCCAGCAGATTTCTTCAGGATCGCTCCACTAAAAAACCGTGACCCGTTAGAAGAAAAAACCTTGACCACGCAGAAAAAAAAAAGCCATGAGCACACACAGTCTTGACAATCTGTCGCATCAACGCCACATTGCTCCAGAAACCAGTTATTTGTCGTTTAAACGGAAAACTCTTATTTTTACGGTTCACTGATTTATCGCAACGTCAAATTGACGTGTTTATGGACTCAAAACGGCTTCCATCTTGCTTTTCAAGCACACTTGCGAAAAATTCTCCAAAAACCCCGTCAGCGAAGGCGGTGAAGATAGGAGCTGTTGCCTGTGGCCTGTACTATCTACCGATGAACTGTAGAAATCCTAGAAATTCATGTTTGTGCAACGGAAAACTTTCTAAGTGGCTACGTTATGTTGGTGCTCAAAATAATTAGCTATACGATGCTGCTGATTCCTCGAAGTTTTTTGAAAAATTTGAAAATAAAAGTGAATTTTAGAGCATCGTTTTCCGATAGATATACAATCGGTGAAGCGTGATCACGAATTCCTGGACAACGATTCGTTGAGGGCCCTGTTCCGCCGACTTTATGCACTCAATCGTTGTGCTATTATGAAAGTTGAAAATGTGGTACTTAGGAATCATGTAAGCATTTTTTCTAGCAGAAAATTGACTATAATTTTGGTTTTTCTTACGAATCCGAATAGCGCTTTTGCGTAGTTATAAGGACTAATATTATCTATTGGATATGCGAAATTGGAGGATTCGCAGACTCCTTAATTTATCTGGTTGATAGCTTAATCCGATTTGCAGCCAAAACGATTTGATATCAATCCAGTAGAAACGGATATTGATGATGATATGACGGTCAGCAATTACGATGATGACGATGACCAAGTGAGCTGAAATTCTCTCGAAATTTGAAAATATCTCCCCAAATTCGGGCACTTAATCTTTATTTTCTTTTCCAGCTTTTCTTACACTCACTGCCAAGTGAAGTGGCAGGAAACGTTATCTTCAGGCTTATGCAGGTGCTAATTGTTCAGGATGAAAGCATCCTTTTAGGATTTTGCCGGTCAGTTTTGAGAGCTCGGAACTTATTAGAGAGTCAAAAAAAGACACAGTCGGCTTGATTGTGACCATCGATAACATTGCCAGCGCAGGGTTTTACCGTAGGGGTATTTGGTTTTTTTGACAGTGTTTTACCGTATAAGGTATTTGGTTTTTTACCATACTTTCTTACCGTAGTGAGGTATTTGGTTGACAGTATTTTACCGTATGATATACCTTTCATAGTGAGTAGAATGCGGGGAGGGTTTTGATATCGTTGCTCAATCCGGATTAATTGGATGTCCACCCGCGACACATTTCTTGGATTATTTTTGCATCTCCTGGTGCTTTGCTTATTAAATACCGGTATAGTGCCAACCAAGCAAGCGGGAGAGTTTTCTAACGATTTTTTTTCATAAGAGTCATATTTTAGGTGGCAATTTCAAAGAAGTGGAAGTATCAGCGTAACTCTCAGACATGGTCCAGAATTGTGTATGATGATTACGCCACAAATGCATTAGCTAGTAAGCTTATTATTATTATTATCATTATTATTATCATTATTATTATTATTATTATTATTATTATTATTATTATTGTTGTTGTTGTTTTCTCCTCAGTTCCTACTCTCATCATTATTATTGCCCTTGATATATTATTGCTATCGTCAACATTAATATAATTTCTGCTGCATTATTATTATTGTTACTTTTATTATTATCATTATCATTATTATTATTATCAATATCCCTGTAGTTATCATTATTGTTAGTGTCAGCTGTTCATTTAGCAAAGCTATCTTTGCCTCCTAATCACGTGGTAGAGTGCCGCGAGAGCAGTTCACTTGAAATAAGATGAAAGCTAATTTATCAAACGCTTATGATTTATTTCTAGATAATAACCTCTGGTCGACGCCTCGCCAAGAAACATCAAACTTTGGATACGATCAGAAAAAGCAGTCAGTTGGACACGAAGCATACAATATTCGAAATTTGCACAATGCTGCAGCTGAAAATAATCGAAATCGGTGAGGAATCTGTGTCCTTTACAATAACACCTTCTGACCTTGTCGTAATTGAATGCTCTGCGCTGTAAGTGCCGAGAACGTTATTGTCTTTTTTGTTGATTTCTAATTAAAACAACAGGATTTTATCTATGACCGGGAAAATATGAGAGGAAGCAAGCTAATTAGCGGGAGCGGACGGGGAGAGGAGCGGGCGTAAGGGGCCGGGGCTAAATCATATTGAATTGTTACGGAGTTAATACCAGTTTGCCATTGTAATTGCCGGTAAAGTAGTTTTGAAAATCCTTCATAACAAAAATCGAGAGAAGGGCGTCTTTTTCGGAGGTAGTTTGTTCCAGAAACACTTTTTCTGGAATCCTGGAACATTGCAAGTAAGAGTTTAGCACTACTGGGGACGCTTGTCCTGCTTTTCCAGATTCCCCGCCCACAGGATTTCATTGAAGTTGCCAGAAAACTTTCTAACAGACAGTGTAGGAGATCTATGAGGGGTTTTTATCCATCTGTGTGAGAGCAGTAGCATTTCACCCATAAAACATTTTTTTCTATTTTGTTAATATCAAAGAAATAGTGCCAGTGCATCATGGCTTAAACTGTAATGACTTCATGATTTAATACCTCGTCGGCATTGGCGGTACTGGACAGACTGCATCGTTCCAGTTGTACTCTTCAACTTAATGGACCGAAACATTCCTGTTCAACAGATTATTTTTTAACATTTTTTAATTTTCTTTCATATTTTTATATTTTACATATACATATATATTTCATCACCAAATATCTTTATTATTCCTTTTTTAGCAAAAAGCTAATGTGGTGGAACTAGTATTTTCACGCACATTTAATGCATGCCTGGTTAAAATTAAAATTTATGTGCAGAACGCATTATTGGGTCTAAAAAGTTGAAATTTCTGCAATTGCCGTATTCTCAGTAGGAGTTAATTAAGCCATTGCCGGGCTACAAAGGGAGAACAGGTCATGGTCATTGGATTTGCCTGTCCAGAACCGTTTAGCCCAAATTTCTTCACATTATCATGAAAATTCTGCAATAATTGGCTGCGCGTAACAAGTTTCTCGAGCGACATGTTGCACAAGTAGCGCTGAAGCGCCTTGCGCAAGAAGCAATCAAGGAGCAAAAATGCATGAAGTAATGAGCCCATTTTTTGCATTGCTATAACTGAACCATGAGAAACCGATCACATTCAAGTATAAATTTGGAATTCGAGAAGAATAACCACAGAAGCCAGGGTAACTTTACCGGAAGGCGATATTTTTAAAAGGATTTTGCTATGAAATTTTTGAGGCCTGTAGACGCAAGAAAAGCAGAACACTTGGGTAAGAAAGAGTAATCATCAATACAGCCTTCTACCTGCCATGTATA